GTGGAGACAATTCCAATTCCACGTGACGGAATTGACTCCAGTGATTCCACACAATAATATCAATCCCAAAAACAGACATGCACTCTTGAAAATGGTTCTGTATAGGACCCAAAGGGTTCTGCTATTGTTATGATGTCAAGCTTGTAACAATGGAAAAACTCTTTTTGGTGATATATAGGACATTCTTGAAAAGGGTTCTATATAGCACCAAAAAGGGTGCTATAGAACCATCTACAACACATTCTCCATCAATCTGAAAAACCATTTCATGATACAAAGAACCCTTCAATCGTGCAATGGGTTCTTCACATGTACCGTATAGTGTGAATAGTGTCATAAAAAGCAATTTTCTTTTATTTTTATAAGTGTGTATGGTGTCAACCAGTCCTGACAGCTAGCATAGCCACTGAGCTACAGGCTAATAAATGTAACCAAACTAGCATTAGTGTAACTCTTACTTCAGTTGTCTGAGAAATTGTACAGAAAACAGTAAGTCTGTCTCTGTTGAGAACACATTGGATGCTGGAGACCCTTTCGACCAGAGAAAAGAAGCCAAATTGAGGTAATCCATCTAGATTGCCAAGTAACTACCTTGCTAACTTTTAGTTTGTTGTCCTCCTCATCTGATAAATCATTTCTGTCATTTGAGTAATCCACTCTCTTCATTGTAATGATTATTTATATGCAGTTATCATAGTTATATGGCTACAATAAGATATTCAGCTTCTTAGCAGTACTTGAGTGATTTTGATGCTTAGTTTACATATATGGACTGGGGAGCAAATAGTATGTTTTAAAATTTTAACAATATTTCAATACACCATACTACATACTTTTATTTCACTTTTTTCTATTGTATCTTTCAACTTCACTTGAAAAGAAATCAAGAAGACCTCCCACCTTCAAGACACATCATCAGAAAGGGGTCTTTAAACAGGCTTTTGTTTTGTTACTGTGCACTTTAAGACTAGTAAATGTAAATGATCTCTGTTCTGTTTAGCTCTGTGTTGTACCATATTAAACAAAGCAGTCTAGGTGAAGCACTCCTTATAACTTCAGTGCGAATGGGCAGACATAAACTGCTACAGGCTGAGGAGGTGGATATATATGTAAATGTGTTTTGGTGACATCACAAAAAGAGTGAAAAAGGCTGATTTTGATGCTTAGTTTATATATATGGAGCATATAGATTGGGGAGTGAATTGGATGTTTTAAAATTGTAACAGTGTTTCCATACCTCATACAAAAACGTTTATTTCACTCTTTTCTTGTTATAAGAATGCTTTAAACTCACCAAAAAGAGCATTACTCTCATCATAGACCAATCCTGACACAGCATACCTCAGGGAAGCCACAAGAGCGAGAGATAAGCGGCTTAGTTTAATATTCCATCTATTACTACGAGTTAAAACTAGTTAATCATTCATTTATGCATCAGCATTTGAAACGTGAAAAAATATGTCGAGTAAGCCCTGAGCAAATGTTGAATTTCCTTAAAGCTCATATTTGTGAACTAGCCTGCTTGTGCTGCAGGGCTAATCCTGGCAAATTAAGCACAACCTGCTTCAGTCTTATAACTTAATCGTTCAATCACTTAAAGCTATAATAATTTATAACAATTACAATTCTTGTTTCTTCTCACTCCGCTGAAGTTACTGTTCAATATGTTTTGCATTTTGTGTATTACTTTGATTACGTTTCATTATTTAGGCCAAAACACATCCTGCCTGTTCTGCTAACATTCATTTATTGCCATTTATTACTCATGCAGTTCTATAATAATGATTTAGTCATCGGTGTTATAATAATACAGACACACTTGTGTCTCACGCCAACTCTTGCCATAGGGGATCACACAGACTGACTGCAAGAAAATAGGCCAGCTGAGTATTCATTGTTTTTGTAATATGTTTCTGAATAGCCTTTTTCCACAGCTGTAGAAATATTATTTATAGCATTGAGATGTTTCTTTACCTCGTGGCAGTGGTGGAAAATACCCCTAGTACTTTGTTACTGTTCTAAAGCATAGCTTTAGTATAGCTCTATTGAAATGGAATGCTTGTACTCTCATTTGATTACATTACTTTTGCCAATAAGTTGAGTTCTTGTGCATTTGAATTTATTGTTTTAGGGATCATTTTACCAAAAAGGTTCAAAGTCAGAGTTGAAAATACATCTCAGACTTTTAACTGACTTGGACTATAGTCTTAAATCCTTTGCTTTGAGTTACCTGCTACCTTAATTATGTTTATTTTGATTAAACATTCCATTTGTCACTACCAAAACAGATATAACACTACTGAAACTTTACCAATGTTTTAAAGGATGCCTGTTTCAGTAGAGACAATTTTGGCTTGACCAGAATTCAGAAATGCTAGCCAGTTCATGACAAGCAAACACAGCTTTGAACCGTTAAACATAAAATCGTAATATTTTTCAGTATATCGCAGAAAATAATGTTTCGGTAATGACAATTCTTAAAGTTGCACAATGATGTTCAGACAGATGGTACACATTTACTTCAAAACAATGGGATCTAACTGTTCACCATCTGTCCATGAGGGACAGGGATGCAGTCTCACTTCCAGCTTTATAATGCAGGGGCGTGACTTAAATAAGTCTCCACCCATGAACTAAAACTCTGTGTTTCAGTAGTGACTTGAAAATGTGGGACAGCATTTTTTAATAGGTTTTTTATTTAAAAATGATAATGATAAATCTAAATCTTTCAACTTCACTTGAAAAGAAATCAAAAAGATCTTTTACAAAAACAACAAAAATGGAAATAAAGGGGAAAAAAGCTGAAATTTAGGGGTTAGGGTTTGGAACAGACACCTCCCAATAGAAAGTATCCTATAAATGATGATTTTGTGTATATTTGGCTTATTACCATCACTATTAATGCATTGGGTTTATATAAATTCAGCAGAATAGTCTTTATATTAAAACATTCAGCCAAATTCATTGCTAAATTAAACTGCCCACAACTATGCTAATTTGTCTTTGTGAAAGGACTATACACTTGAGAGTATGTTTATTTGTAGATACTCTTTTACTTTCACTCAAGCTAGTTACTATAGTTACTATAACAGCTGAGAGCAGACGGGTATGACAGGTGATTAAACAGTCTTACCTTTTATAGCCCTATGAGAAGATATTTGCGGGTGAATGGTTGAAAACTGCAATTTATTACCATGGTCAACTTTAGTATCTAGCTCACTAGCTTGGTAAGTAGTAGTCTATGGAACTAGCACAGCTCAGCTCAGTCCCCACAATATGCAAAAACACTTGAGCAAGCTAATGCTGTGTTTACATGTTGCCGTTATGGCCTTACTTTGTGCCTTTATTGGTTTAAAACTGACATTACGTGACTGACAGCAGCATGCAGCCATGGTGATAGCAGCTGCCGAAAATTGTGGTGCTGATCAAAGGAGAGCTTAGGCAGCAGGGAGGGATTACTGACTGGGCCAGTGGGGCTGGGGGCCAGGGCCTAGGGAAAATAGACTGCCAGGAGCTTCAGACCACAAGGCCAAAAGCAGCCCAATGCAGATTCAAAATTTAGCTCTTGAATATGCAATAACTAAATAAATAAAATAAAGGCCCCTAAGCCCCATATTCTTCCTGCTCCTGCAAATATTAAGTAACCACAAGTTCCTCAGCCCTCTACAAATAGCTAAATACACAGGCATGCACGCAACCTGGTTTGTATTATAAAGAATTAAATAATGAAAGGCTCCCTAACAACAACAAAATGTGTAGTAATATAACTGTGCAGGAAATAATATTAGACTATGTAAAATTAATAGACTACTGCATAATAATTGAGAAATAATCATTTTGTTTGTTTACATTACATTTTTTCAGCTCTGTTTAAGGCACACATAAACAAACACAAGCTATTTATTAGGGTCATTTTTCAGGTGTATTTTTTTCCCATTATTTTTTGCATCATTGTCAGACTGTGCTGGTGGGGGCCTCCAAAGGCACTTGTGCTAATAGGGCTTGTGAAACCATGATCTGTATCTGTTTGGCAGTCACTTTGTTTTGCTTAACTGAGCACCTTTGCATTCATCCAGTGTTTTCATTCTTTATTATAAGGGCACAAAATGAATCCCTCCCCCCCCCCAACCGACCGAAGAGTTCAAGCCACACATAAACAAACAGAAGCTATTCCTTAAGAGTATATTTTTTTCCATTATGCTTTGCATCATTGTCAGACTGTGCTGGTGGGGGGCCTCCAAAAGCTCTTGTGCTCAGGGGTCTTGTGAAACCATGATCTGTTCCTGTTTGGCAGTCACTTTGATTTGCTTAACTCAGCGCCTTTATATTCGTCCTATGTTTTCAGTCTTTATTATAAGTGCACAAGATGAATATCCCACACCAAGAGCTCATACTTTCCCTCGAATATAATATCTCTGTAATTTCTCCATCTCTGCCATGTAAGCTAGCATTAACATCTATAATGTCTGACCTTAACGTTATACAAAATCATTGAAATCACACCTGGGAGATTCAGAAAGCAGGAATATCACTTACTCGTCAACTTACACTGGATGAAAATGCTGCCCATTCTCTATTCATTTTACCAGCTTACTAACAATGCACAATGACTCAGACATGCCCCCATTCACCATGCATGAGCAACATTCACCTAGCGTATGTGATTCCATTGCTTTGCACTCCTTAGAGCCTGAAATTATGCATTTATGGTAATCCTTTTCCACAGAGTCAGACTTACAGGGTCTGAACTCTACACTGTAATCCAAGGTTGATTCAGTATTTCAGAATCATAATGATTAGCATTAGGATATGTTCTACTCACTCAAATCAAAATGAACATTTGCACAAGAAAGACCTTTTCAGTAAATGTCGAATGACAACAGTAGCAAACTGGATCTTGAGGATTTCAACGGCTTTCCAGTAATCTTTCTGTTATCTCAAGCACCTTTATAGGCTTGAGTCAGAAAGCAATACGGAAGAAATGAAAATGGACACTGAAGTAAAAAAAGGTTATCATTTTAATGGTATCATTTTAAGTCTGTCATTGTTCCAGAGGCAATACTGATAGTTTTCAAGGGTTGATGAACACATTTGCCTTCAAAGAAAGTCCCTGCCTTATGAATGTTAAGGATGTATTAAGGTATGGCAAATTAATCATGACAGGATACGATGAAAAAGAGAAATCAATAAAAATGTAAACTTTTCGTCAGCAGATGAAAACTGCTGAGACATCTCGTGAGGCTTCTGTCAGACATTTCAGTGTGAATACCACAACAGATTGGCTTCACCACACATTCAGAAACACCAAATGGCTTTAACTTCAAAGCTACATTTGGCTTATATATATACTAGGCTTATATCTGGCATTAAAACTGAAATAATACCATCCATTTAAGGACACCATATTTAAGGATTAACACTTGACTTTTACAATATGGATGATTGTCAAGCATAATCGTTATTTCATTTTAAACAAAAAAATCTCTTATAAAGAGTTGGCAATTTAATCAGACAGGTATACAATTTACATATATCTGACCCATTTAAGCACATCACAATAACTTCAAGATGCTCAACAACCCATGAACATGATTTCTCAACCCTCATTTTTATCAACTGTATTGCCCTATGTACACAGAAAGAATTATGTACAGGAAAAAATGACGGAAGATAAAAGACAAGGACAAATATGGGTTTAAAACTGGCCTTCTGTTTTCTGGCTCTTAAACAATCTGAGTAGTTACCCAAACAAAAACAGAATTTTAGGTCCCTTGAAATTCTTTCTGACTTTCCTTTGAAGAAGCAATCCCTGTAGGACTGAGCTGTGTAGTGATTGGCAAAAAAAATATTTGGAAAAGGCTTTACTTTAGACATTGATTCTTCCATCAATTCCGTAAGGGAAACAAATAAACTTCTCCTTCACTCCTCCAAGAAAGTCTCTTGCCAGCGATTTCTCATATGAACTGCAGTTCACTGTAACTTACTTATACTGAAAACTTTTACATCATTTTCATTCTGATCTTATGGGACTCCTCAGTTGGACTAGTCTCCCCGTCTACTTTACGTGGCACATATTCAATCTCAATGTTTGGCTTGGCGTTACCTTTCCCCCGGCTCCAGAGGAAGAGGAGAACGAGACAGAACAGCACCACTCCGAGGAAAGAGATAAATCCCATGGTAGTAGCAATGATGAGAGTCTTCATATCAAATGGGAATGGGACTGATCTACCAGTCCCATTGGCACCACCGTCGTTGGGCTGGTTGGATATGAAGGCAAATGTCTTATTAGGCTGATGGGGCCAGTTAGGAGAATAACTATGAACGTGTAAATGAGCAAGCTTGGTGTCATTACCCCCTGCATTGGTAGCTATACATGTATATGTGCCATTGTCTTGTATTTGGGCGTAACGCACTTCCAGAGTTCCGTCCAGAGACACTGAGAGACGTCCAACACTTTTGGTGGTGATGAATTGCTTCCTTGGAGATTGCCACATGATCACAGGGGCCGGGTCCCCATCTGCTTGGCATGCAAAGCGAACCGTGGTCCCCTCATCTACAAATCTCTGAAGGGCTTTGTGGTCCCTGATCTGAGATTTCTGACAAGTAAAAGAGTTTTCGGGGGGAGTATCTGGGAAGTCTTTAAACTCTTTCCCCTGAACAAACTCGGGCGTGGCGCAAGATGGCTGCTGCTTGTTGAAATTGAGCCTCAGGCGGCGACGAAAGACCCAACGCAGACGGCAATCGCATGCCAAGGGGTTGTCATATAGGCCCAAGGTCTCCAGGTTGCCAACCGAGTGAAAGACAGACTCTTCTAAAGTGCTTAGGCTATTGCTGGATACGTTGAGAACTTTAAGGTAGTTTAGACCTCTGAAAGAGTAAGGCTCAATAGTGGTTAATCGACCTCCTACTAAGTCGAACACCTGGAGCCTCATCAAATTGTGCATTTTGTTGCCCTCCACAATCTCAATGGGATTGAAGGAAAGATTGAGAGAGCGAAGGTACACAAGGTGCTGGATGGCCACATAAGGGACGGCAGTGAGGTTGCAGTTTGTGACACTCAGGGTGGTAATGTTAAGCCCATGAAGAGACTTGGCGGTCAGGGTTTCTAGAAAGGGCCAATTTGCTATCTCTAGCACTTTCAGGCGGTAGAGTCTCCTGAAGGAAAAGTCCCTAATGATGTTAACATTGAAATTCCACAGCTTGAGGATCAGCAAATTGTGAAGATGGCTGAAAGCCTCTGTGGGCACAGAGGTCAGGTTGGACCTCTCCATGGTGAGCTGCTCTAAACTAGTGAGGCCATGAAAGGCTCTGTGAGAGATGAAGACCAGGTCATTATCTCCCACCTCCAGTTCCTTTAGATTATAAAGGTCCTGGAACATGTAGTCCAGCAGGATGACTATTTTATTCTCACTGATGTCCAATCTTGTAAGGTTACTCAAGCCAGTAAATACGCCCAGCTGAATGAGCTTCAGCTTGTTGTTGCGCAGTCCTAACGTCCGTAAGCCAAAGAGATTGCTGAAGGCACCCGGCTCAATGACCGAGATAACATTCTCATTGAGCTGCAGCTCTTCCAAGTGAGGATAGTTGATGAACTCCTCAGGGTTGATGCCTTTCAAACGGTTCTTGCTCAGGTCCAACAGTCGTGTCTCGATGGGTATCCCTTCTGGAAGGCTGATCAGCTTCCTGCGGTGGCACAGGACGGAGCGCTCCTGAGCGCTGCACTCGCAGCGGGAAGGGCATCCTGTGGCCGAGCCCGACAGCACTGTGCCCAGCATCAGGATGAGGATGGGCTGCCAGCATGCCACCAGGAAGCTGTGCCCACTCGCCTCGCCAGCCACCATTCTGCTAGTTACCTGCTGAGACACAAGTCAGAGGTACTTTGTCACACTCACTGAAGCAATGGCTCCACAGACACACAATGAACTCATATCTTGACATATAACCCCCCCAAAATAGACAGAGCAGGGCTGGGAACAGAAAGTAAAGTAAAAAGAACAAAGTTGCTCTAATTAAAGTTGTGGCAAAACTGCTGATGATCATGATGATGTTCTACTGCGCTTGCACAGATTGTGCTGCATAAAGACAAGAGGCTTTTGATTAATGACCTCACGGAAATGAGAAAATAAGTCTGTCTTAAGAACAATGAGGAATGACAAAAATAAAGTATTATCAGTGTTTAACTTCCTGCTCTTACGATTTTCAAGGTTTTTTGTTAAGATAAGTTTAGAATAGAGCAGTTTACCACTTCTTTACCATATCTATAGCCAGACATACAGTACTGTGCAAAAACCAGCCTTAATTTCCAGCCATTAAAGGTTTTCAGCATCAGGAAAAAAGCAGAAAATATACATTTAAGAGAAAATTACACAGGAGCCTCAATGACTAAATATAATATAATTTCTTCAGTTTTCATTGCCCACCTTTTGCCATCATTACAGCTTCCTTTCTTTTCTAAAGACTTGCTTTGAGTTTTGAGGAATATTTTTCCTCACCTCCAAAGTTCAGTCTTAGAAGTTGGTTGGATTTTCACAAATCTCAGATCTTAAAGATTCTATTCTCTTTATCTGATGAACAATGAGGAATGGTGGTCTACCAGTCCTTGCATGACTGTTAGGAGTCCCATTTTTTCTATATATTTTAATACATTTTTAAAGTCCACTTTTGGAAGCTGCTCTTTTTTCATTTATTTTGCTTTGTCTTTCCTCTGCCTTATGGGAAAGAATGATTCTATATGTAATTTTCACAGAAATATCTCCTGAAAACATGAGTAACATGAATTAAATGAGCATTTTGACTGGAAAATAAATAAAAGAAGGGTGGTCTCTGACCTTTTTTTACAGTACTATAGGTGGAACAGAAGTGAAATATTAGATACTTCATACAATTACAAATATTTAGTCTTTTAACAATGTAATGGTTAATAGCTGCAGCTAAAACAAATGTTTGTCTAGAATGTTTAGAATGTTTCTATTCACACTGTCAACCACAGAGTAAATATTAGCCAATATTGGCTTATTATTGCTCATAGTTATCTTATTGTACTGCCTTTTTTCTCAAAACACTTAGGTAAAGCCCTTGTGGTTCATTCTGTTCACGCTGGTTCCATCATTATTTTTGCCTCCAACTGCTAGTGCATACATCCAATATCTGTCAATGCAACCTTGAAATTAAACTGCACGGAAAAGTTCGGTAGAGGAATATATAGCATGGAAAAGACTGAGACTAGGGGGCTGTTAAACCCTGCCTTAGTTTGACTCAGGGGTGTTTTAATGTGGAAAAGCCTTCAAGCTCTACTTCCCAAAATCGATCACGCAGTCCCATTCTTATTTCTTGCAGGTCCAAAATAAAATAAAGATCTTGCTTCAGTGTTGCAAATGGCTTTGTGAAATATTTACATAAACACAGATGCAAATCTGGAATGCACTGCATCTAATGTAGAGGCATAGCAACCACTAATTGCAAGTAATGTGATTTACGTACAGCATATCATTTTGACGTTCATGTTCTATTTATGCAATCAAAGCTCAAAAACTTGTGTTTCAGTGTGAAGATTTAAAGATGAATTCCACTGATTCTTTAAATTTTATGCATAATTAAATGGTTAAGATGTAGACAACATCAGTCAGAGTGGTTCTGTATGAAACACACAGTTCTGAAGAAACTCATTAGAACAGAATTTTCACAGTGGTGGTGACAGAAACCAGAGTTTCATTCCTCTAAAATGTTAACTCACAGCATTTTATCACATGAAATTGTTTTACAAGACATTGTAAAACATAGCTTTGTGATAAGATTTGGTAACACTTTATTTGGAGTGGGTCCTTTGTAGATTATTAATAAAGTCTTAACAGAACATCAGTAACATATCGAAAACATATCAGTGAAGTATCAGCAGTGAAGCATCTGAATACATTGAAGTAAATATCTTGTAGATGTTCATTACTTACATTAAATAGATGTACTGTTAATATGTCACTTCCATTACGCAAAATCTAACCTTACCAACCTTACCCAAAACCTAACCCTAACCCTGGCCCTAATCCTAACCCTAACCTTAACCTCAACCCAAACCTAATCCTAACACCATTTGTTTTTGTCATGTTACTGAGAGCCTGTTGAGTGTTTGCTTCATCTAAAAGGACAACTCAAAATAAAGTGTCATCTTAGACTTTTAAAATGTATTTTTTTAAATACATTCACAGCAGAGAGGTGCATGCAGGGTGTTTTAAGGAAAATTAGTACCCCCACAAAACCTTTTTTTTCCGATTTATTGATATTTTCCCGTTACATACTAACATATAAGACCTCAAAAGACACGTGCAGATTCACTGGTCTTCACTGGCATTCACTGGACAGTAAATAAAATGGCGATAGGTATCCTATCACCACCGCTGCATCAGTAAATTGAACAAATGAACAATTTTTTAGCAAAACACATGACTTTGTTTACATTTTAACCATCGAATTATGAGAAAATTTGAAAAAATTCCCTTTTAATAATGGAAAAGTTGCTCTCATCAATCTACTTTCCTATTTTTTGTACAAGCCAAACCATCTTGTTGCATCTGCTAGGCTTGAATTTCATTGATAAAGTATTGGCACTGCCTTGCCTCAGCTGTCTCAAAGCCTCGCTCTGCATGTGTCCATAGTAAGCTAGACTCGGTTGTGTGTGGGCAAATCTGTCAGTGAAAGTTATCCTCTTCAAATTAAAACTGAACGAGTACCCACACACTGGTGGCTGCCAAGGGCAATGTGGTAGAATAAGGCTATTGCAGAGCTATTTAACAGCATGCGGATGGTGAAGGCAGGGTTTCGACAGCCATTATCACAAAAAAAACAGAAACCTATGGCAGAAAATAAGATGTAGTCGTGATGTCACTCTGGATGACATTTACGGGTAGTTAATGAATTAAATCAAAACTCCTACAGATTGACACAGAAGTGTTGCAGCTCTGCTATGGAATTAAGTGAGTAAGGTTATTTGTAATGCTTTTACAAATGGCTTTTACAAAGTTTTGTAATGACTGAGCGGAAACTGAAATGCCACATCTGAAGGGCGAATACTTGCTATAGCTGTCATTACAGAATCAAAAAATTAGAGATGCACCAATAGGGGAATTGTGGGCTGATGCATGTATATATGATCTATGTTCAATTTACTTCTGTGGAGTCATAAATGCAGTAAAATGAAAAAAATATATATTTTAGCTCGGTAGCCCAGCGTCACCTAAATATTCTGCTCCTCTGGAGTACAATCAGTACATTACCAAATATCAGTCATTATTTTTGAAGCAATTATCTGCCATTACCAACATAATTCCAATATAATTGTGCATCCCTACAAAAATAAGAACAATTAAAGAGTTTTAATCTGTATCACTGGTATAAAGAGGTTCCAATGTACTAAACCTATGCATCAGTTTCAGGTGAGCACTGGATGCATTCTGCCCATGTGTTATGTATGAATCTGCTGCATAAAATGCACAGTTTAGGGCCGTGTGCATGGAAAACTGCAAATTGCACTTCTCCCATCATGCATATGCTTTTGAAGGAGGGACACACAAAAGATGGGAGAATTGCACATAAAATGAACAGAGATATTGAAAGCACAGCTGAGCAACTAACAGCAGCTGGTTTTATATGGATTTTTTTAAACTTGGCCTGCGTTTGCAGTCTAAAAGACTATAAGACATGCTGCTAAAAGATTTCCTTTAGCAATGGCAACAAGACGGAGACATGAACCTCCATCACATGCTAAAAGAATATTTACCAACAGAATAACTCTATTTCAACTAGGGATGCACCAATACGGGAACTGTGTGCCGATGCCAATATCCAATATTTTTCATCTACATACCTGCCATTGTTGATACATAAACATTTACAAAATGTGGAAACTGAAACTACAGCCATATGCAAAAAGTTGAGCACATGTTTTGTTGACTTTTGTAAGTGAACAAAGTTAAACACGGCATTTGTCTGCAAATTTTATTTATTTGCTGAGTTTAATATGTTGGCAAAAAATAAAAACGCGCTATAACTTTTGCACAGGTCACATTTTTATGTTGTATGTTTCCCCAGTGTGTTAAATTCACCAAATAATCAGTAACTGTGCATTAAAATGTGCACAAATTTGGGGGATATGCACTGATTTTCACCTAGAAACTCATGCCATTTGATTAGGGGTGCCCAAACTTTTGCAAATGACTGTACATCTACGTAAATTAGCATTACAAGGAAGCGTCACATTTATTTCTATAGAACTACATATGCAATAAAATCAACAAAATACAGATATTTTAGCAAAGTAAACCAGCTTTGCCTAACCATTTTGCTCTTCCTCTTGCAATAAATATGTCATCAAATATTGGTAAAACCTAAATATCTGCTGATACCGATATGATTCCGATATCATCCATCCCTAATTTCAGGTCTCGGCATCAGATACTTGTGTGAGCAGACATGGTGCGAAATATGCTTTGATGCAGGTGCAATAACTGCATGCAGTCTGTGCTATTGTTCGACAAAGTCAAAATATGAAAAAATGTGTATTGTTATGTTAGACGTGGGCAATATGACAGTATTTTATGGTCTCAAGATGAAACATGTCACAATATGTTTTTCTGAACACATTATTGATTGTCAGCATTTAAAGAACACTAAACAACAACAGGTTTCATTACATAGAGAGCAAAATTAGTCCTGTTTCATTGGATTTAGGGCAGTTCAGTTCAGTGTACTCATAGTTTTTGATAGTATTTTTTCAGTGGCCTCTTTTCCACTGTAGAGCCAAATGGTTCTCAAGGTCATACTGTACCGGTTGCAGTTTCTTTTTCCATCTGCTGTGCTGCTA